GTATCGATGTGAAAAAATACCATAGCTCCATTTAAAACTTATCCCACAAAAACAGCTTTAACTATCAGAGATTACATTACACTTCGGAACTACTGCTGAACCTCACAAGGATTTAAAATAAGACAGAGGGGTAGACCCTCAACTAGTGTAAATTGTCATGGCTCCACTGACTTACACCAGATGAGGATCTGGCCCATACGCTCGATTCTGAACGTTTTTCATACTCAAAGGTTTGTTGTTAGTTTCAGTTTTGGGAAACCCAAGCTGAGCCATAATGACCTCAATGAAATCAGCACATTTCAGGGACAGGTGTCAGACAATAATAACATGTTGCACTTGAGACATTGCCATGTAACACTGGTACCAATACTGTAAATAAATGTCAACACTTGTCATGCAGACGTGAAAGGAAGAGGAACTTGGAGGCAAAAGTGATTAGGAACAGGAGCCAGAGCCTTTCATTTCTTGGTCATTGATTTAAAGGGTATCCAGATCGGGAGCCTCCAAACTTCATTACCATGTAATGGCTGCTTGGTGATATATGTGAAATGAGTTGATAAGCATCAGTCCCATTCGTAGGTCTTCACATTGCTGAAATATCTGCTAGCAGAGAAGCCAAGAACTGAAGGGGCTAGGAAGATTGAGCTACAAATATCAAATCCTAAAGCCCTCCCAGGGCCTGGATGAGGCATCTTTGAGGCTTACGCTTGTTTTGTCTCTTGGTAGAGACAATACCTCTGTCTCAGTACAATCAATCTATCATCTTCCACCAATATTAAATTCATTCATTCAACAAAATCTGACATCCTTAACTTCGATAATAATTGAGTAGAAATTTTTCCTGTGAAATTCAATGTAACATTAAATCACACCTAAAAATATTCCCATTACTGCACAGTTTCATTAATAAACATTACATTTTGTCTCTCTTTCTTGCACTGTAAAATGCTCAAGATCTAGGAATTACACTTGACTAAATTGCTTTTAAATCACAAATTTGTTTGAAGACTAGGTTCTATCAAGGAACTATTATCCAGAAGCCTATCTATAAAAGGGATGTAATAAACTCAAATGCTTCTTTACCTCTTGGTCACTGTAAGACACCACTTGTACTGTATGTCTAACACAAAACACTCAGGGTTCATTATATATTTCTTATTTAAAATCATAAAGAATAAATAAAGAAAAATTAAATGTTATTTTACAGATGAAAGCTATCAAAGCCTAATACATAATTGGTAATCAAATTTTCATTTAGCTATTTTCCCTGTGCTTTTAGGTTTTGTGGTATTTTGTTTTTTTCATTTGATTACTTAGAAATATCTAATGTTTACTATTCAACAGTGTTATTAAAAGTACAGCTCAGTTACAGACCATTATCATTGTATTGTCGCCTGCACCTCCAGTCATGGATCAGGGCCTCCTGGTGATAGGTGCTGTACAAACACATTACTAAATGATGGTCTCTGCCCCAAAATATTTACAACCTAAGTCTAAAATGAGAGACAAGATATAGATGAAATAAACAGGGGAACGAGGAAATAAGATGATTGTCAATGACATGATAAGCAGTGGTCACAGCACGAGCTGCCTAAAAAGAGCACAGTTTTATCCCTTTCTACGTTTTGCCTCCTATCAACCACTAGTCTGCTCACTTCCCTGGATTTCTCCTACCCCTGGATTTTTCTCACATCACCCATCATGCATACAATCTGCTCCCTGATTCTTTGCACCTTCCAGCCTCAATCTTCTCCTTCAGACCCCTCGAGACTCACTCCCTTTCAGTTCCCCTTCCAGGTCAAACATCTCATCTAGCTTTGTTCTCTTATAAATATAATATCTTCACATTTTGACATAATAGAGCATGGAACCAACCAGGTGAGGATGTAACAAAATCTTATGATCTTTTAACATAACCCTCTTCTTCCTCCCTTTATCTCCTCTCCAGCCTTTACCTGTCCTATGTTTAATTTTGATTGTAAGCTCCTTGGAGAAGGGATCTGTCTTCTTCATTTATCTGCAAAGCAACAGGCTGTAGAAATCCAGCAGCAGCAGCCAAATCTTGAAGTCTACTTTGGCGGAATAGTAACAGGCATTGGTCCAACAATAATAACTGTTAGGTATTTTAATTCCTCTTTTAAGCTTTGTCACCGGTATTCATAGCACAGCAACATTTCTTACCTTTTATAAGCTTTGTGCAATGAGATGTAAAGCACTATCACACTGACCCAAAGCCATTCTCCCACAATATCCCAAGGACTTTGATAACCCCAGGGACAATCTTTGAACAGTATATCTGATGTTTTCCTTTATCCAAATGCCTTTCTTGTCCCTAATTTTAGGTCATTGCCCAGTGCAACGCCTTTCATTGTGGTCACCTTGCTCTTCCATGATACTAGATGCTCTTCCAGACAAACTTCATTGCTGTTCGCTTCCCAGAGGAAAACCTCATCAATCTTTCTGGGGTCAGTATTGAACAGTGAGAACAATTAAAGCTCTTCAGCCACAATCAATCCAACCGAGGGACATAACTGCAATGTGCTGAGCAACCCAACTCCCACCGATTTCCGGAATGGAGGGCACTCACTACCTGGTAGGATTGGGCCCAAAGCTTTATATGAAAATCAGGTGCATGGTTATTGATGAACAGCACTCCAGGGGCATCCAAACATTGCCCACTAGAGGGCCACTTTTTCAGCTTGCCAAGATCTCAGGAGCCACAGGGCTCCATCATCTTGGCTACCGTCGCCTTCAGTTGAGAGCTGCGGCCTGTGTAAACGGCGGCTCCAAGTAAAAGATGCTTCATGCTGATCTCAGCAGCCATTACATGGTCTCTCTCCTGGTTCCACCGCCTTATTAAAGAAGAGAGCAGCCAAGGGTCGCACTGTGGAAACCCCACAGCCTAGATCAACTAGATCCACTTCAAAGCGCTCTCCAGATAGCGGGCATCCCTGTGTTCTCAGACAGCATTAATACACTGTGCAAGTTAACCTTTCTGGCTTACAAAATGAATTAATTCTACCCGTGTTGTTCTATCTACATATTTGTCTGGGTCTTTACACTGTACCCATTACCATCATAGCTGACGGTAAAGCTGTTGTAGACAAGATAATAACAAATAAAGCACCTATGAATTACGCTGAAATGTGCCCGAACTCATGTTTTGAGCTGTATAAACCAGCAGCATTTTTAGCACATTAAAACAATGACAAGGAGACAGAGAATCTCCTGAGACTTGAATTATAAAATGAAAACTCCCTATAAGTAAGAGTGGCTGAATCCCGGAGTGCTGAATCCTAGGTGCTCTTTATGGGTAATCTATACTTTGATTTCGACTTGCACCTGTCACTCTGAAACCCTGGTGATGGGCTCACTGGAAATGCACAGAACAGACAGACAGGTTAAATGGGCGTCCCACAGGAAGGTGCTGATTCCAAGCATTAACACATGCTTAATTACATCTGGTCACTTGCCAGGTGGAAATGAAAAAAATCCTCCTCGGGTGCCCCTGTCACAAGCCAGCAGCCAGCAATTGCAAATCTGACCTACAACACTGCCCCCTGCCCACACTAGCCCCATACTCTCTCAGGACAGACATGTTATTACACACAATATAACCACTGACACAGCAGGTGCAGCTGAACAGTGAAACTGTGCTAATGAAAGGCCTGATGGAAACAACACACAAACAAATCCGCCAGTCACTAGTAAAAATGTTACTCCAAGGAAATTAAAAATTGCACACCCTGGCACACACCTGCCCAGACCGACCGCCTCAAGATCCACAAACACTTGTGGCAGGTGTACTTTGTTGGCAGGTCAAGATCTCATGCTGAGTTGACAGCTGTTGTAACATTGATGTTTCTTCCTGATTAGCTGGGCTTTTCCCAATCCTCATCCCCATCCACCCAGCCAATCACAGCTCCCAGGTCTCTCAAAATCAACTTCCAAATCCCCAAGGGATTGAGGAGTGGGAAGGGGGGGGGAGCATCTACAAGTGTGAAGTCATCAGCTTAGGGGAGCCAATGGGGTGGGCATTTTGGGGTCAGCTGCCCTCAGCATGTCAACTTCACCTGCAAGCTTCCAGCTCTTGCTGCCTTGGCGGATTATCAACAGAGAGTGGAATCAATGCTGATCTATCTCTGCCTCCATCCTAATAATGGCCAGAGCGCTGAGCTCAAACCCCAGAGCTCTCCGCGCAGCCAGAAGCGAAAATCCATCTTTAAAAGCTCCCACTAAATAGATCTGAACTGAGCCTCTGATTCTGACAGGCATCTTGCAGCCCCGCCGGGTTACTCCAGCCTGCTCTGAGCTATCCAGCCTCCAGCCACCGCCAGCATCTTAGCCATAAAGTCCCAGGCTGCTGCTGGGAGGGTATCAGCTGTTGCTGAGTTTCTTCAGCGACCTACCCATCCTCTGCATGTGGGGCTGGATCGGTGCCCGGGAAACGCTGGGATAAGGTCCCCGGGCGTGGTCGGTAGTCCTCACACCCAAATGCAGCTTAGCTTCCTTCCCCCTCCCCTCTCTGCTGCCCATCGTAGCGGATCCAGACGCTCCGGGCTCCCCCCCCCCCCCGCCCTTCCCAGGAAAGCTAGAGTCACTCCGCATCCCCACCCCAGCCCCGAGTCCCCCCTGTCCCCTAGCGCGCGGATTCTAGGGGGATCCTTCCCGCTCTCCCGTGAGACATTCCTGCTCCCCCACCTGTCCCAGCAACGGCTGGACCTGCTGCTCTCAGCAGCTATCTCCCCCCCCAGCGCCCCCGTGCAATGGGAGAGGAACCCCGACCTCCCCCCCCCCGCTCATCCACGCAGGGGGATCGGAGTCCTCATGCACCGCGGCGTGTCCCCTTCCCCGCGCCGGGGGATCCGAACCCTCCAGCCCCCCATGCAAATGGCTGGAGAGCCCCTGCATCGTCACGCAAAGGGGCCGGGAAGCCCCCACGCCCCGCCATCCCTCCCCAGCCCAGGCGGGGAGAGCAGAGCCCCCACTGCCGCCCTCACCGCGGTGCCGCTGCTGCTGGCGGGCGCGCTGCCTTCAGCGCGGGGCGGCCGGGGAGCCCGGGCGGCCGGCCGGGGCGTTCATGTTTGCGGCGCGGGCGGGCGGAGGAGGCGGGTGCCGAGCCGGGGCTGCAGAGAGGGCGGCTGCCTCTGCGCGTGTGTGTGCCCGGCAGCTTCGCCCAGCCTGGCACTCCGCAGTGCTCGCACGGCGCATGTGCTCCGCACCCCCTGGCTGGGGACAGCCCACATGCGAGGCGGCTGGGGCTGGCCCTCTCCAGTGGGGGGCCGGGGGGGGCGCAGTCTGCTGATTTCATTCCCCGTCACCCTGCCTGCCCGAGCTGGGCCGCCCCCTCCCCTTCATCTCCCTGAGCGCCCCCCCGCCCAGCATTTGACTCCTGTTTGTTACCCCCTTTGATCGGGGGTGGGGCCCCACACCCCACTAACTTTATTCTGTCATTATCCGAGTGATCAGATCTGCGCAGACCCCCCCCCCCACTCCGAAGCTCCCCTGCATCAGCCAGCCCGGTGCTCTACGCTGCCCACCCCACCCCCGGTGTATCCCCACCTCCGCGTATTTCCCCATAGCCCACAGTGATCCCAAAGCACAAAATACTCGGTATCCCCCCCCCCCCACCGCGTAGCCTCGAGCTCCTCCCCACCGTGTACCCCCCCGGGCCTCCGCACACACGTCGCCTCTCCCCCCCTTGCACGGATGCCTGTAATTCCGTTGAGCGCTCAGATGCCATGGGGCGGGAGGGACAGTCAGCTAGGCAAATGCTGCTTCCTCGAGATAACCCAGCACTAGGTAACTAGGGCTCAAAGGGTAGGACTTTACCGGCAGGATCCCCCTCCTCATGCATTCGGCTCATTCCTTCCATATGCCCACCTGCCTTCCCATCTCAGCCCCGGAAGTCCTGCGCGCAGCTCCCAGCCGGCAGTTTAGTTTCTTAACTTCTCCATCTGGGTAGAGACACAGGGGAGGCGAAGGAGGCAAAGCCTCCAGGACAAAATAATTGGCTCCGGTGTCTAGAAACTGAAAGAGCTGGTCACAGTAACTCAGATTTACCCTCACCACGGTGGCGTCCCTCTCAGCCGCCAACCCGGGAGGCAGACAGGGGTGAAAATGCCCGCTCAGCATCCTCCCCTCCCATTCATAGCTGAAGTATCTATTCTGCCCTGGGTGGGCAGTGCTGTGACAAGCAGCTGGTTGTGAGCCGTGCAGGTTCTTTGCGTGGTACTAGATCACTGACCTGAACCGTGACCAGGAGTTTCTAAAGGCAGCAGCTCTATCCGGCGAGCCAGCAGGACAGTCTCCCGGGGGGAAAAAGACTCAGTGCTACTATGATAATGTGTCTATTGTACAGTTTGTGGACCCTATCCTACCCCCTCTGCTGTCAACAGGAGTTTCCTCCTTATCTGTAAAGGTGGCTGGATGAAGTTTAGGTGAGCTATAAGCAGCTGCCTCAGCTTGAAGCTGTCCTTTGCTTATTTTGTACACACGCTTAACTCCCATTAATATTAGGGGGAGCTGCAAAGGATACTGTCCCAGCAGATCAGGTGCCTTAGTTTGTTGCCGTTAATACATAAGGGTGATGTTATTGTTTTTGCTGTTTTTATATGTCAGCGTGGACAATGTGTTTGTACTCAGACACGACACAGAAGACAACTAGGTCCCTGCCTTCAGACGCTTAAAATCTAGGGGGCCAATCCTGCATAGAATTTAGACCACTCTTATATGTCTTTCTCCTGCAAAGGGCTCCACAGATCCTTCTGCTCCAAGCTGGAATAAGGATCAGGTCACATGGATGATCAGCCCCTTTTGCAAGATCAGGGCTGTAATTTCTTCCACAGAGTCCTATTGATTTCAGGTAACAATAGGTGCTGTTATTGCTCTTTGCAGGATCAGACCCTCCGTGACGTTGTAACTTAATAAGTATTATTTAGCATAGTACATAACATATATAACATAAACATAATCATATATAACTTAATATTTCAGAGGTAATGCCCCACAAAGAAACCATTGCTTTCTAGTCAGTTATGCTTCCTGAATCCAAATTGAAAAATAAATACTAATGGGAGATGCAAGAAGATACCTTAAATCAGATCTAGTGGAAATTTAGGACAATTATTTGGTAGGTGTGTTCAGGGGTGCTGGAACAATTTTTATAGTGGGGGCGCTGAGAGCCATTGAACCAAACTGTAAACCCTTGCATATAATGGAAACCACTTCAAGCCAGGGGGCGCTGCAGCACCCCGGTGCCCCTACTTCCAGTACCTATGGCTCTGTTTGTTTTATTAAAACAGTTAACACATGCCTGACAGTAACTCTTACAAAGAGTTTAAAAAAAACCTACATTCTGCAATGCCTGGCATACTCAGGGAAATACAGTTTTGCTCCTAGGTTTGGACAAATCTCCCATTGTATCTTGTCCAGCAAAAAATTAAAATCCCAGTGGGTGTTTTTGCACTTCCAGCCAGGCTCGCCAATTCATCCCCTAGCACTTGAGGGTCAATGTTACAAAGCGCTGCTGCTCTGGGACTGCTAATTTCATATGAGGAGAAAGGGGAAGCAAAGCCACCAGAAAGGAGGAGGAGATGGAACAAAACCAAAAGAAACAAAACTAACAAGAAGAAAAGGAGTACTAGTGGCACTTTCCACTGGATGCATCCGATGAAGTGAGCTGTAGCTCAGGAAAGCTTATGCTCAAATAGATTGGTTAGTCTCTAAGGTGCCACAAGTACTCCTGTTCTTTTTGCAAATACAGACTAACACAGTTGCTACTCTGAAAACTAACAAGGAAACTAAATAATTAAAAATGAAACTAAAGCCTTGTAGGTAAATTCACTTTCTTCTCCCAAAAAGAAACAACACACAGAGAGAAAAATTACAGCCAAATACACCACCAACTCTCTCCACGCACCACCCCAAAGAAATTATCAGACAATCCTCAAACTACAGAACCAACTCAACAATGGAGATGGATCCTGATCTATTTTGTTTCCATTCTGATGAGGTACAGATGGAGCTTCCCTGAGAGAGGAAAGGGACATGGGGTGCATTTGGATATTCTACCCGTTGCTTCATGCTTCCTTGTTCCCACCAGACAACAATTCACCTCTATCTATGGCCCCCACTACCAGAGTATCTGAGCACCTCACAATCCTTTATTTATCTCCACAATCCCTCTCTGAGATAAGGAAGTAGTGTTATCCCCAGTTTACAGCTGGCACAAAGAGACTAAGTGATTTGCCCAAGGTCAGCAGGAAGTCTGTGGTAGAATAAGGACTTGAGTCTGGATCTCCCAAGTCCAACGCTAGGGTACTAAACACTGGACTGTCTTTCCTGTTGGACTCATTTGGTTGTCATTTATTCTTCTAGAATGGTGCCTTCCAGTTTCTGCTGGGTCCTGTTCTGAACAACTCCAGCGATAGCCCCAGAATCCTTTGCAGAGGTTGCAGCAGGGCTTCAAAGGAGGTGTTATAGCACTCACCACCGAGAATGGTGTTGCATACCTGAGATCCCAAGGCACTCCCATCATACGGCTGAGCAGAAAAAATAATCCCCTTTTCTGAGAGGTCCTGCGGCTGAAGCACCACAAGTCAGAGAGAATGGTTTGAGGCTGGCCTGTTGGTGATTGACTGTCAAAGTCCCAGTGCTAACCCAGCACTAGCCCCTTACATATGGTACCAAAGTAGCCTGCACCTAAGCTCTTCCCTGACCGTGAGTGCTTAAAACCATGCAAACCACAGCCGTCTAAACCAGGGGAGAATCTCATTGCTAGCCAGTTTCTCAGAATGACATTTGTCTACAGATTATAGGTCTTCAGATTACAGGTAATAATACAGACATTTGTCTGTATTACAGACATTTGTTTACAGACATTTGTCTACAGATTATAAGTAATAATAAGACTTTTGCATTTCTCTAGCCCTTTTCATCTCAAAGTGCTGGCAAATTTTAATTAGTGAAACTTCACCCCCTCCCGGTGAAGTAGATAAGACAGAGAAATCAGGCACAGTTCAGTTAAATGACTGACCACAACAGAGCTCAAAAAGGAGTCCAGGAGACATGACTCCCAGCTTCCTGCTCTAGCTATTAGACGACATGACCTCTGACCTGAGGCTGAATTGACACAGCGGACCTGTTCTGTATTCCCTTTTTATCTTTGCACCACAGATAAATGTCTCATGGGGACATCTTGACCAAGATGTATTGTATCGGCCAGGGGAATAGACCAGATAACCCTATAAGTTTTCATTATCTTGGGCTATAAATCTATGATATGTGCAACATGTTCTCTGCTTTAAAAGCTGCTGAGTTATCATGAAACTGTATCTTACATAAAGTTTGTAAAATTCAGTGTGATTTCTCTTCAATTCAGTCAATTTTAAAATGGTTAGATACAGGATTCTAATTTTAAAAAAATTGATAATGTGAAGACAGCTAAAGGTATTAGCTTTCTAGATGTACAGCTTTCTGATGGACTGACGATGATAGCAGTAAAAGTGAAGAGCATACAAACATTTGCAGCCTTGATTACAATCAAAAGCAAGCACAGTGATTTTCAGAGGTGCTTTATATTCCAGAACAGTCATTCTACTGAATGTTCATTTGCTGCTACACAATAAACAAACTCTGGGAAATTTCTGCTGGAACCTTTCCGGGAAGGTGGCTATTGTTTGGTTGGTTGGGTTTGGGTTTTTTGGGGGGGTGGTCCTTTTTTTTTTACCCTGTCACATCATATGCAAAGGAGAGGTTATCCCATAAAATTAAGGGGCAGTCAATGTAGAAACAATGAAAGGAAACACTGTTTCATGCCAAGAGAGCTCAACCTGTGCAATTTGCAGCCACAGGAGGTCAAGTCAAGAATTGGGGCTGGATTTTATAAAAGGGTTGACTAATATGATGAGCAATAATATTATTCAGAGCATTAGCTTTATGGAGTGCTTGTGAACATTTACCAACCTATGCACATCCTTGCTGTATCAAGCTATGCTTGATCATGCTGACAAATGCTTACGGTATTTTACTCACTCATCAATAATAAAATAAATTCTCACCCTGACCATGTGAAATTTTGCACCACTGCTTTAATAATGTTTATAGTGATGCAAACTAAGACAAAGGAAGAGTAAT